TGAGCTGTGAAACCTGAATCTTCACCCAGGCCTTTCTGCAAGCAGTGCTGGAGACAGCCACCCTGCTGGCTTTCAGCCTCCCAGTGTTGATCTGGAGAAGCTAAAGTGAAGGGTACCCTGAAAAGGTGCTTTCTAAACCCATCACTTTCCTGTTCTGTCACAGGCAGAGTCAGTGTTTTGCAGGCCTCAGGCTCAGGAATACCTGTAGTCATTCAAAACATGATCAGAATGTGCATTCCTAGCAGAGGGGTGCTGCCTGCCTGGAGCTTCTCAGCCCCGGGGGTGAGCAAATAGGACAACCTTCACCTAAAGCCCGTTTGTTTTAACTCACAAACTTGTGCGTGGAAGGGGGAGAACAGAACAGGACAGGAGACAAACCTACTGCAGTTTGAATTGCTCCGAGCCCCACACTTCCTGCACAGGCTCCCCCTGTGATGAGCACCCCTGAGCACATTGTTAGCATTGCTGGGTGGTTTCCAGCACGCTGACCTCTTAGCTCATGCCTGCCAGGGCAGGGTGAGCAGCCATCCTCCCCAGAGTCCTTTGGAGCACTCTTGGATGATGATATTGGAATTTCTTTGTTTCCAGGAGCGTTAGGGAGTCTGCTTCCTTTCTCTCAGAGTCTGAATGTTGCTTCCTGTAGTGGGACTTAACCCTTTAGATTTTGGCTTTCAGAAGCTGAATAGGGACTGTGAGGTGTAGTGAGTGTAAACCTGAGTTTAGGGTACATCATGCCCCTGTGTATGTGGATTGAACAAGTGAGGTGCTTTGAGCAGATACAGGCAGAAAGATCATGTCAGCTGCACTCACAATTGAAGTTTTTGAACTCATGGGGAAGAAAATCATCCCTTTGACACAAAAGAGCTGCAGGTTATCTGGGACAGCAGTGTTGTGAGGTAAAATCCAGCACCAGGGGAGGCAGGGTGGGAAGAAGAGCATCTTGCTGTTGGTTTGGAGCAAGGTAGCTGGAGGTCTTGGGAGTATTCCAGGAGGATTGTGAGGGCAGAATGCCTGAGGGATTGGCCAGGTGCTGCTGAGGTACCCTCTTGGCAAATCCAGAGGAGAGATTTTGTAAACCCTTTGCCTTGAGAGGCTGGGGAAAAGCTGTGATAATAGTTATTGTTGGGGCTTAAGAGCTGTGTAATAGGCAGATGGGGAACGTTACTTCACTGTGGTTAGAGGCAGGGCTGGGACTGCAGCTTGGATTCGATCAGCAGCAGCAGCAGATAATCATTATCACAGGTTTATTCAGGAGCCTCACGAACACCTCAGCCTCTCGATGGAGTAAGAGGTGACAGGAGTGAGCGGTGACGGTAGTTGGTGAGGGTGGGCTCTGCAGTGCTGGGGACACGGCTCCTGATGCTCAGCTGCAGGAGGGCTCTGTTCCCCACCTCACTTCTCCCCTCTCTCCCCAAGCGACGACGAGCGGTACCGCTACTACAGCCGGGAGCGCAGCTACGACTTTGAGCGCGACTACCGGCGGAGCCGAGACCGCAGCAGGGAGCGGGAGGACCGGCACCGGGAGCGCCGGCACCGCGACAAGGACGAGAGCAGCAAGCATAAGTCCTCGAGACGGTAAGAACTTGGCTTAGGGTTGGACTGTGCTGCTGACGGGAGCACGCCGGGGCTGCGGGCAGGAAGCTTGGGGATCTCGGGTGATCTGTCACCCTGCGTCTCGCTGGCTTCCTGAGACGTGGTGCCCAGGCAGGAGGAAGTGCTCTTGGGCAGGTGGCAGGGCTGTCTGTACAGGGAGAGGGGTCCTTGGTGCTTCACTAAGGCAGCTGGCAGGGTGTTGAGTCACTGCCAGCAGAATTGCAGCACTGGTGGGCAGAGGAGAGGTTAACCTGTGCTGAGCATCACATCAGAGCAGCGTAGTGCCTGCTGTTAAGAGAGTACACACAAAGTAAATGTGGAACCGTAACAGAAGCATCAGCTGTAGGTGTCAATGTGTTCTTGTGCAGAAAAGAAGAGCTTGCTTCAGCCTGGAATCTGAAGTGTCCTCTTGGAGCAGGAGGCTGAGCTCTGCACTGTCAGAGCTCTGTGCCCAGTGCTTCCAATAGTGATGACCTGGACAAAGATCACTTGGGCAGAGCAGGATGTCCTAAAATCCCAGCTTTCCTTGAGTGAATGTATTTGCTCCAGGTGCTCTTCCTGTGAGTGTTGTTCTAGCAAAGTAGCAGGCCTGGCCCCTGGCCTATGGCGATGCTGCTGTTGTGTCAGTTTACATCCTGGTGATGACTTGAGCTGACTTGCTCTTTGGTTTTTTGTGCTTCAGCTTACTTCCTTCTAGATGAAATTCTGTCAGCTCTGTAGGTAATTACCCTTGTTTTGAAATGGGTATCAGAAAAACTCCTACATAATGGCTGGAGGTAAAAGGCTGCTCTCACCCTGAAGGAGATGAATAAGATTTCAAGAAAGGATTGATTGCTGAAGGGCTGGAAACAAAGGGATGGGAAGAAAGGCCAGGCCCATGATCAAAGTTGAATAGAAAACAAGTGGAAGCTGAGCTGATACCAGACTAACAAGCCAATAGCTTGAAGGGTTATTTCTCCACTTCCTCCACTCAGAACTGAAGTCGAGCTTAGATACCTGACTGCATGAGCAGGATGGAGCTCACAAAGTGGGGTCAGAATCTGCTCGAGAGCTCCATTTACAGGACTGGGCCACTGCCTAAGGTGGGAGTGAGGCGACTGCCTGGGCTCCTCAGACCACACACAGATGCTCCCTGTCTTGTTCAAAGGGATAAGATGGGAAGCATTTGTAGCTACAGCAAATGGATGAATATTTGTTTATGGCCACTTGGAGTGTGTATTGGATCCCTGCTTGAAGTGCTTTGAGATCTGAGCCTGGGGAAGGCACTGGCAGGAAGATGAAAGGGTTTTGTTGCAGTTTGCCTGAAGGAAATCCCTGACACTTGTTCCAATATTAAAGGACAGTTTCATTGCTCAGGCATAAACCACTGTCCACTGGTGGCTGAGGATGTGCTGGGGAGAGGCACCAGCCTTTTGTGGTACTTTTTTCTTCCCTTTAATGGCTCTGAAGCCATTCATTAAACAAGGCAGAAAATCACTTCAGGCAGGAGCTTTCCAGGCAGGGCTACAGTGGCTCCGCCAGTTACGTGTCTGCTGCTGAACTGGTATTCCAGCTGTGACAAGAACTGGTCTACACCTGATGGTGTCCCCACTCGTGCGGCACCGTCTGTCCTGTGGTCACTTACCCTGTGATACATTTATCTGCTTTTCCTGTACTCTGTGCTGCGTTTTCATCCTGCCCCTCCATGCCATGGTCAGCTCAGGAGAGCTCACGTGGTTTGCAGGCTGTGAGGAGAAACAACGCATCTGTGAGAGGCAAGCAGCAGAAAATCTTCTCTCAGGAGGTGCCAAGAACCAGAGTGAGCAAAACCAGAGCTCCCACTTCCTGCTTCCTGAGGGGAGCTGGAGGCTGATCTCAGTGTGGGGATGTTGTCAGGCAGCAGCTCTGCGTGAGGAACAGAGGAGTTCTAAAGCATGAAGACAGTGAAGTGCCAGGTCATTTATGAGTAAGCAGAGGTAGACACAGGATCTACTTCCCATTAGGAAACCTCTATCTACCTGCATTGACCCTTCTCTTGCCTCTAGTCCAGGGATTTAGCAAGTCCAGAGGAGGCCACGGAGACGCTGCAGGGGCTGGAGCAGCTCTGCTCTGGAGCCAGGCTGAGAGAGCTGGGCTGGGTCAGCCTGGGGACAAGAAGGCTCCTGAAGGGGAGACCTTAGAGCAGCTCCAGTGCCTAAAGGGGCTGCAGGAAACCTGGAGAGGGGCTTTGGACAAGGGCCTGTAGGGACAGGCCAAGGGGAATGGCTTTAACCTGCCAGAGGGGAGACTGAGATGAGCTCTTAGGCAGAAGCTCTTCCCTGGGAGGGTGCTGAGGCGCTGGCACAGGGTGCCCAGAGAAGCTGTGGCTGCCCCATCCCTGGCAGTGTTCAAGGCCAGGTTGGACAGAGGGGCTTGGAGCAAGCAGCTCTAGTGGAAGGTGACCCTGCCCGTGGCAGGGGTTGGATCTGGATGAGCTTTAAGGTCCCTTCCAACACAAACCAGTTGGGATTCCCCAAGATGTTCAGAGGAGCAGAAGTTTCAAACACCTCAGTTTAGGACTCTTCTTTCTCTCAGCAGTCTCAGTGCTTCACATTGAAGCTTTAAATGTGCCAGAGTTGTTTGAGCTCCCTCAGGAGCTGGAAGGACACAGAAGCTCCTTATAAAAACCACCCCAGACTGAATCTTGGCAGCAGCCTGCCTGTGCTGCCCACCCTGTGTGGTGTAGAGCACCCAGCTCCAGTGTTTGCATCACCTGCCCTCACTCCAGCCACGTAACCCTTGCAGTGGCACCGCAATGCCCTGGGCACCTCTCGTATCTCCAGTTCTACATTACAGCAGCAGTCAGTGTGGGTGTCTCTGGCCACTGCAGGCTCTGCTGCGACCTCCCTCTCCCCTTTCTTCCCACCCCAGGAAGCAACACGAGAGCGAGGAGGGCGAGAGTCACCGGCGCCACAAGCACAAAAAGAACAAGCGCAGCAAAGAGGAGAAGGAGACCAGCGAGGACGGTGCCCAGGAGGGAGAGGAGCAGGACACCAAGGAGTGACCCCCAGCCCCAGCCCTCAGGAGGAACGTCTCCTCTGAACCAGCGTGGCACTGGGGATGTGTTGGGCTGGGGGTTCATTTTGTATTCCATGTTTCCCAAGGGAAGAGGCAGACTCTGGGCGAGCGGAGCCGCCGCCGCTGCAGCGGGTGAGAGCTGCAGCTCAACTCTCTTCTTTTTGTTCTGCTTTTTTGATACAAAACCAAACCCAGCAGTTCCAGTTATACAGAGCACTGAGCTACTCCCGACCAGCCCCAGGGAGGACTGTGGTGTATCAGATCCTATGGTTTCTGATGGAAGACGGCCTCAGCTGAAACTAACGCGTTTAGGTCATAGTGGTTCTTTTGTCATCATCATCATCATTCCTTTTGAAGAATAGGGCAGTGAGTGTGACTTGAACTTTATTGTCCAAAGAAGAGTGCGCCCTAGATCCCGAGAGCCAGCTTAGAGCCTGGCTTCGAGTAGTGCAGAGTCCCACCCCCAAATAAATCTCTTTATAGCTACGAAAGTACCTCCTGATTTCTCTGTGTGAACCATGTGTCCTGGTGGAGCAGGAGGCCCAGGCTGCTCTGACCAGGGCTTCAAGAAGTTGTGTGTGTGCTCACAGTGTGCAGAGACTTCAACCCCAGCTGCTTTTTGTTACCTATTGCAACAGTGGGTCTGTCAGTCATGTCTTACATCTGCAAGTGGGAAATCAGCAGGAGGACCATACTAAGAGCATGAGTTTCTTTTAATTAGCTTTGCCTTCACTACTATTGTTTTTCCTGAGTGGAGCAGAATAATGGAGTGACTGTGTAGTCCCACCTCGCAGTTTGCCCCTAGGGGCTTCTCTCTGGTTATCCCCAACAGTCCTGTTCAACACATTCCTGCCCCTGGACTGCCAAATAAATTCACATTCCAGAGTTTGTCTGCACTTAGTGTTGGGTTTAGGGAGCAGCAGCAGAGAGGATTTGGGTAGGAGGAACGGGGGAGATGATGGTGGGGAGTTTTGGTACATCTGGTACCTGGAATCCTGCACTGCTGTTGGTGTGGCAGGACACGGAGCAGCAGGTGCCCCAGCAGTGCTGAGCTGTGCAGCATGCTGAATCAGGAGCTGAGACTTGTTAAATATAGCTTTATTTACCCCCTGGGTTTGCTTTTCATGCCAGTCAATGCTGGTCCCTGGAGGCACTAAAGGGCTGCGGCCAGGAGCAGGAGAGTTGGGATGTGCTTTTGTTCAGTCCCAGTGTAGTTCAGGGAGTCCAGCTCCTTCCCTGGGAGAAGCAGAGGACAATGGCACAGCTTACTGCCTCCCAAGGTCAGTCTCTTGGCATGGCTGTTGTTGAGCGACCTGTCCTGGGGGCAGTAGTGATACACTGGAAAGAAGGGTTAAAAAACCTCCCATCACACATGTTGTTCAGTAATATCACAATAATTTATAAAGGCATCAAAACAAATTCAACATCTATTAACGATGAACTGGTTCTGGAAACAACACTTAAATTACCAGGATGGTTTGGTGATGTTGAAGGCATCTTGAAACGAGACGGAGCAAAGAGTCAAACCCGTGCTGCCTCCTGCAGCATCCTCCTCCCTCACACTGACTGCTGCACGGCTTCCTCCTGCTGCGCTTCATTCAAACAGGTGAGGTTTGGTGTTACGCAGAAGGACTCTACATCAATGTTTAGTGTTCCATGCACGGTGATTGGAAAGAGACAAAAAACACTTCAGGATCTTTGCTGCTTCAGGTGAGGGTTGAGGGTCGGTTTTCCACAGGCACCTTTCCGAGTTTGGAATTGTTTCACTGTCAGCGTTCAGCAGAACAGGCACAAAAGGCTGCAGAGCCCAGCAATGCTTCTGCTGTCAGGCTGCAGAGGTATTTATCAAGCAAAGAGGCCACGCTGTGTGCTGGGGATGCTTCTGAGGACTGGATCCTGAGCTATTTCTGTCTAATGGGCTCTGATAACAGGGGCTGCAATACACTGCCTTGAGCTAAGAGCTGAAGGAAGTGAAGTCACCCTGTGTGTAAACAACTCAGTCACCTAGTGAGGAACAGTTCCACTCTGTAGTAACTGCTAATTACACAGGAGCCAGCCCTAAGAAAAGCCCTGCTTTAGACAACGACAGGCACTTCCCTGCAGTCGGTTTACTACAAGGAATTACACATTCATCCTAGGTGGTATTTTTACAGGGGAGGGAAAAGCTCTTCTGATTCTTATGGTCTGAGCTGGCCCCGTGAAAGTCACAGCAGGAACTGTGTGAGAGAGATGTCTCAGTGCAACCTGGTTTGAGAAGGATCGGTCACTTGTGATTAACAGCCTTCTAAAAAGGGAACTGCTTCATTGGAGTCCGCAAGTAGGAATGTGGCAGGGGGTGAAGGTCAAACCAACCTGCCTTGGCTTCCATGCCTTCAATTCTGGATGGGACTGCAGCCACCCCAGGCACACTGGCCTGGAGGGAGGATTCACCATCGGCATTCACAGCAGCTGCCTGGCAATGGGAGCTTAAGACAGCTCCACCACACTGACCTAGCAGCTCCTCAGCTACGCGTTACCATTGGGTTTTTAATGTACAAACACATTCATTGGGTTTCAGTAACCTAAAAACATCGAGGCTGGGGGCTGCAGGAACTGCTCAGTTCAGTCCCCATCCTCACAGCTTTAGTAGTGGCTTTAAAAACATGTATAAAATGACTCTATGTTCAAGAATGGCAGCGGGATCAGGCAGCAGAACTAAACTAGCAGGGAAATGGGACAGTGGTGCCTGTCTAAACCTGTCCAAAATAGTAAATGGGAAGCAGAGCTCTAAAATTGAGGAAAACGCCTCAAAAGTGATTTGTAGAGAAATCCTGGAAAGTGAGCTTGCTCTGCACCAATCCTAAAGAGCTACAACGGTTCAGATTAGCCTTGACTTGGAATCCAACAGCCAGGTTTGTAGATAACCTCAGCACAGTGAAGAAATGTTTCCTGCAAAAAGGAAGCTGAAAAGTCTTCCATGGCAGTAGCAAGAGCGCTGCATTCCTTGGGCTTGTCTGTTTAGCTTTGTGTGACGGCAGCTGATACCTGGAACTGGGGTGCGGGGTGGCTGAGCTTTCACACGAGGCTGCCTGGCCAGGACACCACAGTGAGCGTGACTTTGTTCCTTTGCTCCTTCAGCATGGGGATGAGTTCCGAGTTGCTCATTCCGATCGCAGGCACTCCATTTACTGCCACGATTTCATCTCCACACCTAGTGAGAGACAGGAAAATGCTTGTCAGGACTTAATTATTGCTAACACTGTGCCCAAGGACCACCAGGGTCATGGAGCCCACCCTCAGCCAAGATCATCAGCTCCTTGTAGGAGCAACTTGTCACTTCTGAGTCAGAGGGTGAGGGAAAAGGACACTGCTGCTGCTTGAAGGACAGCAGTGACCGTCCCTGCTCAGCAGAGGAAGGAGTTATAGAAAACAAATTAGTGCTGATAAACACACTCATGGCCAAGGTCACTCCTACAGCTAGAGTGCAGTCGCTCAGGTGAAGTGCTCACGAGGCTCCAGCTCTGTACACAGAGGTTTTGGCATCCTGCTTGCTCTGCCCATCTCTGTGGTGCACCAAGCAGTTACACTGGGGTCAGCTGTGACGATGTGAGGGGCTGAAGGCAGCCCACTGCCTGCCTGGTGTCCAGTGGGGACAGCACAGGAGCCCAGCTGCCCTCAGTCCTCCCAGCAAGGATCTGACCCTGCCCTGGTCTTTAACACCATTTTCAGGTGAGCAAAGCCCAGCTCCCTACCCCACATCCCTTGCACGACAGCAGTCCTGCTTCTGTTTTTACAGTGCTGCACTTGTCTGAAATATCCCCTTTCTACTTTTATCCAACGACTCAGTTAAAACCTTTACAGCCTTTTAAAATACAACTGTTAATTCCTTTTAGTTGCACCTTTATAAAGAAACCAAACCAGTCATTAATACGGTACTAGGACTCTGGTACAATGCTGGTATCAGCATTAACTGCACAGATGAGTGTCTAAGAGTCACAAGTCATCAACCTTTAGCCCCTCAGTGCAACAGTGACCTAAGCAGCAGTGTCTCTGATGCAGACATACGTACTTGAGCTTCCTGTCTCGGAAGGCAGGTGTCCCAGGCACTATGGTTTTGATGAAGAATGGTTTGTTTCCTTTGCTTTCCTCAAAGCCCCCAACGATGCTGAAGCCCCAGCTCTCCAGGTTACCCTTGCTAAGGACGATATCTTGACAGCAGTGAAGGTAGCTGCAAAGAAAGACAGGCACAAGTGTGTGTCAAGGAAAACTGCCTGGCTGCAAATGTAGGTTTTCCCTTGCGGAAAGCACAGCTATGTTACAGCCTCATGGCCATTTTATAGTTTTAAGGATTTAAGGCAACCCCTTTGCAGGGACAAGTTTCAAATCTGAGGATGTCAGTCCTTTGGAAATCCTCTCTCAGTATTGTCAGTGCTGGTTTAGGAGTTAACAGAAAATGACCATCCTCTGAAGGGGTTTGTGACCTGAAAGACCGATGAATTCTACTGATGAACATGCACAGTGGTAGAGACAAAACCAAACGGATCATGTACAGCAGCTATACCCATGCAATTCTGTATTCCATCTGTGAAGGCACACAGCAGCAATGCATTGCTGATGGAAATCAAAGGTGAGGTATGGTAGCTTTCCTTCTGCTAACCACCACACCAGGATAGGCGAGGTCTTCCCTGCAGGGGCTCACCCAGCAGTGTACAGTTAAGGCACGGGACACCTCACAGGCCACTCTCTGAACCCCAGCCACTGAGGAATGTTCTCAGCAAGCCTGGGGCTACTGCAGCACTGGGGCTACCCTGGCGAACGGCTGTGTAAGTGCCAACAGCACTCGGTCCTTGAGTCTGTAGCACAAAGACACGCAGAGCCCTTGTGAGGCGTCTGGAAAGGTGTGGCAGGAGCCTGGGCAAGCCTCCCGTGTTCTCTGGCACAGTGAGGCTGTGTTCTGGCACCCAGGAGCTGCCGCTGTGTGAAACTGCTGCTGCTCACCCCACAGAGGTGTTCCAGCAGCCCAGCTTCTCCCAGTAAACGTTTTGGCCCCGAGGGCTTTGCCTGAGCTGTTTGCAGATGAGTTTCAGATTTCAAAGCCGCCTCGGTTACTTCTCAGTAGGAGAAAGATCCAATTATCTGCTTTCAAACTGTAATTTACTCTTGTGGGAGCTCTTCACACATGAACGCTGCAAGACCCAGCTCTCCCTTACTGATGGCTCCGTGGTTTTCATCTCCTGGTACCAACGCAAGTGTAAGGACACAGCTATGAGAGATGTGTGTAGCAGGCAGTGCACATAAATAGCCCAGAGATCAAGAGTGGTAAGTGCTGTGTCAGCATAGAACACAACTAAAGCCCTTAGACACAGTCTCAGCCACACTGTGCACAGTTACCACTTCCAAGAGTCAATGGTTTTAAAGAGAAGGGATAAGTCCATCTGTAAACTTGGTATTTCTAGTGTCTGTAGGACTTGGTGTGCAATGAATTGGGACAACCCCTCCCTTCCAAACCAGCACTTTGAGATCTTGTTATACTAACAGTAGCTGGTATTGATTTAATGTAATACTATGAAGAAATCAAAGTTCCTGTGCTGTCTTCTGTGACATACACAGTCACGATGACAAACACTCAGCAGCAACAAGCAGTAACATACAATTAACCTGCAACACTCACCACCACCAATTCATAGCAAAGAATGGGGAAGGAGTTAAGTTACGAGGACAGCAGAGCTACCCACAGGTTCATTACAAGACAAAAAATGCAAGAAAGATACCAGCCACTTGGTTCAGTACCAGTTGCCTGAGGTTAGATGGAAAATTACTACTACACACTGTCCCTTTCCAGAGCCAAATGAAGGAGGGCAGCATTAATACCAGCAGCAAAGGTGTTTGAAGCACTGTATTAAATGGCACGTAATGGCACTATACTCTTGACATGAAGGCAGTGATCAGCCATCAAACACCAGCCGCTGTCTGAGGGTTCATACTCCGGTTTGGGCTGCCCCGGTGCAGCTCAGGGCTGGTTTGTACCAGGCCTTCACAGAACAGACAGGCTGCTTCCCTGGGAGAGCCTGGTAGGAGGGTGCTGAGTTCAAGCCAAGTTACAGTCACTGGAGACAAAAATCGACCTTCCTTGGGCTGTTTTGTTTAGCATTTGCAGGCTGCTAAGTAACACAAGAGTCACATAAGAGAGGCTTTGTTAGTGTGTCTTCTTTCAGGTGCCTCAAGAAACAAAGCTGTAAATAATCCAGGCATCCCACAGGAGGGTTTGGCTTTACTGTTCCACGTGCATCTCCACAATCCTCCTCCAGTCAGCTGGAATGACACAGGCTCTACCCCTCCCAGCTGAATGTGTATTAATGACACTGCAGGAGTGAGCAAACCAGAGGCTCCCCTCTCAGGAAGGAGACAGAAATCCAAGCTTTCAAAGCCCCAACTCTGCATCTGGAACTTTCCATGCTGCTAGTCAAATCTGTGCTCAGTCTGTGGTCCAAAGCTTAGCAGCAGGAAAACTCACCTATGCAGAATCATTTCTGCTTCATGCTAAAGATGACACAATTATGATAGCCAGAAAGAATGAGACTGAAAGAATGCCTGCCCTAATGGAGATGATCACATTAGAAACTATAAACTAGCACAGGTATCTGCTGGCTTCTGTTGTGTGATTGAGAAAGAGCCACAAAGCAATTCTGGTTAATGGTATTTTAGCAGGAGCTGTGTCTACATTGACTATACATCAACTCAGTGCCACAGATGCCAAAATCTCATGTTTTGTGTGTTCTCGTAGGAAAAAAGGGTTTTCAGGAACTTCTGAAGTACAATTACTGCCCAACAGAAGTGAGGGAATGATGTGTCACACCATGAAAGGCAGCAGAAGTTCCCTAAGCATCCATTATACAGTGATCTCATTAACAAAGAAAGCTTTCCCCTGCCTTAGAGCTCAATGAGAGCACCAGCAATGCTTCCAAGACAACCAACAAAGCAATTAGTTTCTAGTGTTTGGGTGAAAGTCAGCTCTGTGGCTGAACAGATCTCTGTACAGTCACCAAAAGCACGTACCTAGGCAACCCAAGCCACATGATCCAGAGGGGAGACCAGCTGAACCCTTGCTCCTTGATGTCCAGAGAGGGCTCTGGTGCATTCAGTGGAATGATTTCCAAAGCTTTCAGTACCACTGAGTGGGAAGCTGCATTAGATTTCAGTGCTGAGACAGCTTCGTAGTAGTTGAGATGAGTCAAATCAATGCCATTTATGCTCAGAAGTACATCTCCTGTTGATTAAATGATAGGATTATTACAGACCTTTTCTTGTGAAGCCCATTTCTCCCTCAAGGCTTATGTGGAATCCTGTTCCCAACCTCGCTTTAGTGTCCAAGTCCAACCTTTACTGAAAAAAACCAAACACACCAGTTCCCAAAGGATAAAGGGTCCAGGAACCTCCTTACCTCGCTTGATTCTGCCATCCCTGAAGAGGCACCCAATGGGCTGCACGCTCGTTACATATATAGGGAGCTTGTTTTTGTTATCCCTTCCACCTCCAATTGTTATTCCTAAAGATTCCTTTGGTTCCTTCTTTATTGCAACTGTCTTTTCGTGACTTGCGTACCCCTGAGGTAAATCCTACAAAGCAGCGACAGTACAAAATACAGCTTCATTAACACAATTAACATGAGAAGCCCGGATCTGGAAGAAAATAACAGACCATTGTGTGTCTTTAATTCAGAACATTCCAGCAGTGCTGCTGGATTGCAAAGCCAGCTTCTCATGTACTTGCTCTGGGTGGAAATGCTACCCTGTGTTTCTAAAGTGACACCACCACAACAGAGGCACTGCTCTCCTGATGATCCCACATTCATCTGCAGTAGAGATGTTCACTCTGAGGAGAACAATTTTGCACTGAAGAACAAGCTATGAACTCATCTCGAGGCCATTCATTCTCAGCAATCAACCTCTCTATGACTACTACTAAATGTTTAGGTTGCTGTGAAAGCAACACGTTAGCATGTGCTGTACAAGCAATATGTACGTGATACTGTAGGATCTCAATCAAAGAGCCACATTCCAGCCATTTATGATAGCTACTTACTAAACTCAGACACATTTAAACACAGAAGTCTAAGCAGTTATAAGCCAGTTTTTTCGCTCAAATGGAAGCTGTAAATGTAGAGCAAATCTCTCTCGGTACCACAGACTGATGAGTCTCCTCTTGCTCATACTGTTTAATATGCCATCCTTTTTAATAAGGGATGGAGCCATAACACTGAGGTTACAGAAGCACTAGTGTAATTTGTGTAGTTTCTACCTCTGTACTGTGAAGCTCCAAACCAGAAGCATAACTCAGTGTCATCATGCAACACCCTGAATGTTGTGTACTGGATGGATGTTGTGAAGCAAGTCCCAAGCCTCTCGCGGATGGTAAATTCCTGTTGTCTTCCCAGACAAGACAGGATTAAACACCAGTTCTGCACTGACATTAGAGACATTAGAAGAAATTTTGACCCTGTTTCCTAGTAGGTGACAAATACACAGTTCTCCAGTACCAAAAGCCACAGACCTGCTGCTTTTCAATAGCTGAAGAAGAACTGGAGCTACTGATCAATCTTCTATGATAAATGGCCATCACAGAGCAAACATAATAGATCTGTCAGACCACGAATGCTTTTGCTGTTACTTACAAACCTCACCTTCTGGTAGGTGGATTTCCGTCTGTAGTGATTCTGGTCTAGTCGCCTCCGATGGTGCACGGGGCTTCCCCCATTGCTGCTGCTGCTGCTGCTGCTGTTTGATGTGCTGCCATCTTCTACCTGCTCTGGCAACTGGCTGCCTGGCTGCCTCAGGATCACAAAGTTCACTCTTGACTCAGTGGTCTGCCAGGAGAAACAAAGAGAGGGTGGATAAACTAGGATGACAAATACATTAGAAATTAGGGATGGCTCCTGTCATGTTCTTGGGGAGAGAGGAGGGTTGGCAATGGTTTCTACGGAGGGTCTGAAACAGGGCTGTGTGATGTGATGCAGTGTCTTCTGTGAAGAGGCACAGAATCCTGTGGTGAAAAGAAGAAAGGCATTAGCAGATGTTAGTCAGAAGGAGCAGGAGCAGAGGCTTTGCTCGTGCCTCCCTCCCCCACGAATGCCAACCAAGAGAAAGTGGAAAGGGATGAGTAGTTCCTCCACTTGAGTACAAATAACCAGACCAGCACATTGTGGTGTAATGCAGAATGAGCAGAGCCAGGACGCTGACTGGACCCAGGATGGATGACCACAATGTGAGTACTGGATGCTTTTTCTTTTATTACAAAGAACCTTGTTAAAGCTCCTTCCCTCCCAGTTTATGTACCACAGCCATTGTTCCACATCTCCCACCCATTTTTTTCCCAGAGCACCTGAAGACATGACCTTTTGTCTAAGATTGCTGCCAGTTAAACACTTAACCAGCTGCATGTCTGGCCTTGGCTGAACTGCAGGGAAAAGTAGTTGCTATTGTTACTGCTCTTCTCATTTGGGTTGTTCTTTCAGATAATCTGACAAAACCTCTTTGTGAAGGGCTCCACTGGGGTAAGGTGTGTGTGCTTGCTTGGGGCATTTCCTGCAATGGATGGGAGAAGCCCAGTTGCCACTTTCCCTTCTTGACACAGGACCCTGTTTCCCTGGTGCTGCTACAGCATCCTGGCAGCACTGAATCCCCTGGCTTTGGAAAAGGGACCACATCAACTGTTTGGGTCTTCTTCCTCTGAAAACTAGTAGAGTTTTGTTTTCTGAAACAGAATTTGAAAGTCTTTTGCCTCCAAAATCACTTCAGATAGAGTAAATCTTTTCCAGAGAAGCTGGCATGCATCCATGTCTTCATAACATATACTGTAAACATCACATCCTAAGATGGGGATTTGCCCTCCCCTTCAACCAGAAGTACCAGACTACGTACAGTACTTATGCCTGTGCAGATATATATATAGGTGTAAATGGTACTTTACAAGAGAGGAAGGACTCTCTTCTGCAAATGGTTTGCAATCAAAGTTAAAAATCACACTTAACCAAGAATTTGAATCAGCCCTCCGAGGAACAGATGATCTTGGAAGGACTGTCACAAGTTTTACACAAATATCACTCCAAAAGGAGTTCAACTCCCAAACCCATTGAAGCCAGTTCTGAGACTTTGGTTACTGATTTCAGTGGGATGAAGGAGGAATTCCTCATATGGGAGTTACCTCTGCACATTACTACAGCAGCACTCGGGGGATGCAAACAATATTCCATAGAATGAAATCACATGTATAACATAAAAAAGGATCTCAGTACTAAAACTCTGCTCTTTTCTCCTATATCACTGCACTCCTCTGCTGATTACCAGGAAGAGGACTGGCTCTCCCTCACTGCTGACCTCAGATCCTTTCCGGGACATAAACAGCATGTGATGAGATGTATTGTGTCAGGATCCTTAGATAAAAACAGAAACTGGAGGTCACTGCCTAGGGAGATAAAGAATTTAAACTGATCTACATGATATCTGCTGCACACATAGCAACCCTTAATCCTTAACCAAAATTCCTTGCCCACTCCTTTCACCAAAACACTTGGCATGCTGCAGCAGGAGCACATTCCTGTGGAAAGACCTCCTCTCTTCTACCCGTTTAGTATTTTAGACGGTTTTTAGCCTGGGGTGCCTTATTTCAAGACTCCCTTCCCAAATATAGGCAAAATGGGGAGAGGGCTTCAAACCAGCCGAAAGGTTCTGTTCCGTGCTGCCAGCCTATCACACCTCCCCACACCACCTTCAGTTTGACTGTTTGAAGAGGAGAAGCTGTTCTAAGCATTCTGTCTCTGCTGCATGCATCTACACAGTGCATACAAATATTCACTCTACAAGAGCAGCTCCAAACACCACGCCACAGAGGAGATCCCATTGCCTCAGCTGAACTGTGGTGCCACAAGCAACTGCCTGGCTTCAGAGTCAGAGGTGACTCACGATGGATTCCCACTCTCCACCTTTATCTTCATTTGGAAGCGGTGCTTCCCACACATCCGCAGGGAGGTCACTTTCCCAAAGAGACATTTCAGGGAATGCAGTTTGCTCTAGTGCTTTCTGTTAGCCCCTGGGTCAGAACAGGAGCCCTGCCATCAATGCAGGCAGCTGCAGTCATTAGCCATACAGCCTCACCATGTAATAAATTACCTGGATTATCTGTGCAGCAGCCTCAGGTGTTCCTTGCCTCAAATCCTGGCCATTTATTGAGAGGACTCTGTCATTCCGACTCAGCTTTCCGTTTTTGGCTGCCAAACCTCCCTCTAACAAATCTAGAATAAAAATCCCTGGCTCATCCGTCTTCCGGATCAGTTTGATCCCCAGGGGTTCGGATCGGTCTCTCTTTATCAAGGTCACGTGGATCACTTCCCGGTTTGTAGCCGAAGAGGAATCCTGTTGTGCAGTCTTATTGGAAAAACCCTTCTCCTGCAGGACCATGAGGTGGAGAACAGGACCTGGGTGGCGCAGGAAGGAGACAGCTTGGCAGTGAGTCACACTGCTGATGTTGACGCCATTCACCTAGAAAGACAAACAAACCGGAGTCACTAATCAGAACCTACATAATTTAGGCACTGTCCTCACTGTGGAACATCACAAAGTTGGAGACAGGATGCGCAACTCCCTGGGCAATGCTGCGACTGAAGCAGCTGCTTCTGGTGCACCTTAGAGAGCAGAGTTGTCTAAAACAGGATGCAGAAGAAAGCAGATGAAATGAGACCATAACTGATGGTGAACAGATGAGGAGAGGGACAAGACAGGCCAACTCAACCACTGAATCTGAAACTGCAAAACATTAAATCATTACAACCATCCCATGGCAATGCAGAACTGCTATCCCTTAACTTCCAGCCTTCTACACATACTTGGAGGCAAGACTCTAACTGGAGAGTGGTCCATAGTCTACAGTCTTCTGGAATCATCAGTTTGATCATGCTTTTACCAAGGTACCTCTGAGAAGCTACTTTTTGCTTTGTCTGTTGTCAGAGAAAACTGTGCAGTCCTCTGTCAGGAGACTAATTGGGCTACTAAGTGTGGGGACCTGCCCTATTTACAGCCCAAACAAGACTTAGACATGTGAAATTCACCTGGATAAAAGAGAAGTTACTCTTGGTCTATATAAGAAATCATAGATTGTAAGAAACCAGAGATTGTATCGGCCTCTTGTGCACGTGGGGCTGCCCATCCTCACTGAAGTCCACAGCCCAGGAGGGTAATTAGGTCTTTACGGCTCCTCAAATGATGGGGCAGCCATACCCATAGCCAGGAGGTGGTAACAGTTCTCACTGTGTGTAGGCTTGCTGCTGCACACAAGCTTCTGTCCCCTTGCTTAGCCCACTGCCATGCAGCATGATGAATCTGGAAACTAAACCTGACCTTGGGTCAGCACCGTACGAGGCTGGTGCTCTTTATTACTCACAGTACATATCTGATGCTTACTTCAAATCGTAAGGTCTTAAACTGTAGACCTGCCCATTGAGAATATGCAGCTTAAGCAACATAGCAGAGCAAGCAATTACAGTACTTCCTAACTAGAGCAGAGCGCTCTGAAGGGAAATGGTGCTACTGGGTGAAACATACCAGATAGAACTCTTGTTTATCCAAAACACTCTAGATTTCAGAAAGCCATCACATATTCAAGGTAACTGCGAGTATGTCTGGAAAGAACCTTCAAAAGTCCACTCCTCACCCCCAGTGGATACACAATGCTGCTGACATAGAAGCCTGTCAGTGCTCAGCTGTAAAGATTCCTCAGTTTTTCTAGGAAACTCTGCTCCAGCACTCATCTCAAGCCAAGAGAAGCAATGGGACTACCAGTGGGGTTTTACAGACCTCCAGTATGTGGTCTCCAGGTGCTATTCTCCCATCTGCAGCGATGACAGAATCCCGCAGGACTTCCTGAACAACGATGTTCCCTAGTGGGGTGTCCTTACCCCCAACTATCCTCATCCCCAGCTCTTCTTCGGGGTCTTCTCGGTGAATTTCAACTGTAGTTGTTTCAGCCACAAGACTAGTTCTCTGAGGAAGGTCTGATTGGGGAAATTGAAGAGGAAAAACAACACATTAACAGAATTTCCCTCCACATAGCACCATGAGATTTGCAGCATTGGCAGGCTGTGTTCAAAGCAGCTGATGGAGGGAAAGCAGCTACCGGGACAGGAAAGAATAGGTCAGATTCAAAGCTTAAAAGGCCCCTGTTTCTTTACAGCTTCTCTAGAATGTTTCCCACCTTCTCCTAGCTTATGGTGAAGTTCAACTCTTCCATTATTAATTCTTGAGTTTTATTAAAGGGCATTCAATATGTTTCATTTACTATTTAGAGATTTATTTTGCTGTGGTGACAGCTGACCTACTAGAGGCATCCACATGACAAATGCCAGCTTCCACGATGCCCATTAGCAAAGGGGACTACTGGGCTGTAATTACTGCTCTGCCGCTGCAGTGACTTTACCACAGGCAGCTCACTGCAACTTCCCTCCTCTAATTTCCTTTCCTCCTCTTTTCCCATCCCCCCTGTCAAACAGGAGCAATGTTTACCTATTTCACAGCATGCTGAAGGTTAGGCAATGCTTCTCAAGACACTTTGAAGATGAAAGTTGTTGTTAGCAAGTTATATTAAATCTACCAGCACTGGAACATTACTGGCCCAACACTAATGAAGCCTGTCAGGGTGAAGTGCAATTGTCACATGGGACATGCAAAACCTGACCCAGGTTTACTTGGGGAAAAAGCCAACTGAGAAGTCAACTGACCCCTGTATTAACCCTGGCACAGGTTCCCAGCTCCAGCATCTGCACACTTGGAAACCCAGACCAGCTTTGAGATGTGGCACAGAGATTTCCATGCTGCTGCCTTCTAACAGGGGTTGAGACAAGCAGTTCTCTGCTGGAGATGGTTACTTTTATCTGAAAGGCTTTCATAACTATTAATCCCCCAAAACTAAGTTGCGCTTTAAAACCCCCACTTGCTGCACACCATCAGCGAGGTACTGACCACTCCAGGACACTGACTGTATACTTAACCTTCTTAACAAGATGAAGAAGAAGCTGGAACATTTCCTAATTATTATCTGGCTTCTGCAAGTGCTTTAAGTGCTCCATGTTCACAGGGACTGCCTTTGTTTCTGCAGAGAACACTGCGAGTATTCACTGCAGTCTAACAGAGATTCTCTGAACTGTTCCTTTGTGCTTGTGAGCAGATCCTGCCACACTCCTGCACATGAGTACATCTCCCCTCTGCTCAAGGACAAGCTGAGGAAAGAGATTACTTTGATGGCTAGCAATGGCTGAGTAGCACTGAGGCTCTCCAAGAACACTGGGGACACTTTAAAATCTAAATTGTCAGAGATAATTACTTCATTTTTATATTAGAAAATGTAATTATATCATCACACTTCTGTATCAAACTCTCACCTTCTTCAGTCTCCTCAAATGCTGGATTAACCAGCCCAGGCTCCACAGTCCCCAGTGATACCACAGCCGCTGCAGAGCTTTCTGCCACAAGTGAGGATCCTGCACTTGGTACCTCTGGGTCCTTGGGTGTGTTTGTCTCCACCCTGGCAGGAGGATCTTCCTTCCCTTTGGAACTGGCATTCTTTCTCCGCTGTAGTTCAGATTTGTATTTCTTGAAACCAGGACACCTGGAGAGAGATTGTCAGTGACAGTGAGTCTCTGCCCGCAAGGTTCACCCTGCACATGTGAGCTCTGACTGACAAAGGTTTGAAGAAGCATGTTCAAGATCCCATCAGCTGCAAGGCTTGTATCACTTGTACCAGCTTCAGAGAGGGTTTGGTATTTTACTACTTCCAAAATTATTAAGCAAATTATTTTTAAAAGGAGAATGTAATAGCAATGGGAGTCTCCCCTACTAAATATTTACCTGGCAAACACTCACTGAAGAAAGCAATACCTGTTAAAATGCAAGCAAATACTTAGCTCTGACCTTTCAAAGATGCCTATGAATTGTATCTTTATGCAAAGGAAGTGGCTCAAGTTTCAAGCTCAGCCTTGAATTAGGCTTTGTTTTTAACAAACCAGTAACCTGCAAGAGCAGCAAAGCTTGTTTTCTCAGATGGCACTCCACCTCCCGTCCACCCAGGTGATGGCTCTGCTTGACCAGGAGCAATTTAGAGATACAATCCCACTAACTACTCCAAGAAGTAATTCTACATTCAACAAACTGTGCTCAGTCTGGCTGTGTTGTAGCTCAGCAAAAACAAGCTCTTTATCAAGAGTATTTACATATAAAAAAGGTGGCAGTGAGGAGGGTGATGAATGCAAAAGCATCACTTTTAGAGACATGAGTAGTATTGGGTGTTAACCAGAGTCACTTTTCAAATTAAAACCAACTATTTACATTCTGGCTAAACAAGTCTCATCCCAGTACTACTTCCTCTGGCTTATTCCTAGTCATTCATTCTCCAAGCAGTAAGATGACCCCAAAACTTAGAGACAGAATCTGACTGATCCACTTGTGCACATCCCTTCGAAGATGTCAAGAAAGAAATTCATTCTGCAAAGGGCACAGAAATCTCCCAAGAAAAAAAGTTTCTAGGTGCTTCTTATTCCCTTAAGTTTCCTGCTACTTGTTAATCTTGCTTAAAACTAAAAACCAGGAACACCAAAATCCCAGTATAATTATACTCTCGTTTCCCCCATGTTTCAGTCCAACTATGCCCACAGCTGAGGTGATTTTTAGGTATCTCCCTGAGGAAGATACTAGGAACTATGAAATGTATAAGAGAATGACAGAGTTTCCAGACAAGTCTCTAACATAAACATTTAAAGGTGCCTCCCTTTTCTGTGTTTTAACTCCTGTGCCAGAGGGATTAACAAGTGACAGAAGTTTACTGATAGCAGGGGAGATTTACAGAGCAGAGAGGAAGGCCCAGCCCTGGTGTGGGTCACAGCCCCAGCTACACAACTAAGCAGCCCTGTCCCTGGAGCATTCAGCACTGCCTGATAACAAGCCAGCAGTGCCAAGAGATGGTTCTAGAAAAAGGAGATCCCCAGATTTCACAGATGCACACGAGAATCTTTGAGCAACCTGCTCTAGTGGAAGGTGTCCCTGCCCCTGGCAGGGGGTTGGAACTGGAGGAGCTTTAAGGTCCCTTCCAACCCAAACCATTCTGTGATCTTCTGTCATTTCCACTGGCTCTAACACAAGCTCTCATATTGTGAGTTCTGAAGACAAGCAAGAACCACAAGGCTATATCCTTGGCTGGAACTGCAAAGGTATCCTACGTGCAACTTCCCTGCGCAGTGGTTGCCGCAAAAAGCTGTGATGTTGCTGAAGGGAAACAAGCCTGTTGCATTTCTGGTTGCCCACTGACAACAGACACATTGCCAAGGAAGGTCTGCTTCCGCTTGCAGTACAGCTCTGCAATCATTAACTAGGTGGGAACAAGTGTTCTTCAAGCGCCATGGCAAGGGCTCTTTGTCACCTGCACTTTTTTTAAAGCAACACTATTCTGCCTGCCAACAGCCCAACCAGCAGTGGAAGCACCAAAGCATATCCCTGCTGCCAAGAGCAAGGTATAAAAAAGCTGTCTCCTGCATAAGGGAGAAAGAAACAGTATTTTTCATTTGCTTCTCTTTCTCAGGAAAAGAGGAGATAATGGAATTATAAGTAGGTGATTCAGCAACTGCATAATGTGCAGCTTGGAGGGACTTACATTATTTGGATCAAAGAGTTATGTATTGCACATCTTAATTGGCCCAATTAAACTGGCACCACTGCACGATCCCTGCTCCCAAAGTGTTGATTTTGTGCCTGTCTTTCTGCTCTGTGCAAGTGAAACAAGAAGCAGCATGTTTGTAACAATTTTAGAGTCAAGTGCCCCAGATCAGGACACACAAATGTACATCCAGTTGATGGGTTTTGTGTCTGTGGACAGCTTGGAGGCCAGAACCTTGCCCTTTGCTCTGTGGCACATGCGAGCTTGCCTCCCTAGTGCATGCATGCACAATTACACTGTCTTCACCCACCCACTTCTCTGGCCTCACCCTCTATCATCTCTGGTGTCCCACCTTGCCCCAGTTGAAGAACTGTTCTGTGAATGGCTCTTTCTGGTCAGGAGCACAACAGACAGCTGGCATTATACAAGAAGCAATAAGATAATGTGAATGGGAACACACCTGTTTTGCAGATGAGCTTCTAGTTCACACCGCTGCATTGTTTGCTGACACTCAGCCTTGAAAGGGCAGAAGACAATCAGCTTATCCAACAGGTTTCTGACTAGAAGGCTGGACTTGTGGCACTGCTGGAAGGAGAGCTTCTTCCGATCCATAGGACAAAAGTTATACTCCTGCATGAAGTTCTCAAGGCACTTGAAACAGTACGTATGTCCACAAGGGGTGTCCATAGGCTGGAGTAGAGGCTGAAGGCAGATGTGGCAGATGAGTTCATCATCCACTTCATCCTGGAAGTTGTAGAGATGATTGTCCAGCAAGAGGTGGAACTGACCACATTCGCAGCAGAGTTCACTGACCTGGGAGACGTGTTCTTCTGCTGTGGGATCAGCCATGACAGCCAGCATCAGGCACTCAGCCCAGCAGCAAGGAGACTTGACTCGTAGTCACTGTCTGACAGAGGAGCTCTAATGAAAGGGAGAGAAAGACTTCCAGCAACTGTCCTCTGTGGATAGAGCCAATTAAACATTAAATTGTATTCCTGCCTTAACTTCCCCCTGGTATCTTCATGCCCTTAAGGTTCTTCCTTCCAGAGCACCCCTGTGAATGATCAACCCAAGGATCTGAGAATGTGAGGACATCATTCAGCAAAATGCTTCAGCACATCGATAAACTGAACCTTAAATTACTTTACACAGACCAGTGACACAGGCTGTATAAAACCCTGACAAATGTATGAACTAGAAACCCGAGACAAAAGCTGCATGTTCTTGAGGGAGAACAGCCCAGGGAGAGAAGGGAAGGGAAAGAAAAGATAACCCAGGTAGTGGTTTTTAAACTGACAGTTTCTCTCTCTGGCTTTCCAGATCATACCGATTATTTTCAAGCTATGTATGGTGAAACATCAGTTTGGGGAGTTCTAGTTGTTGGATTTCTGTTTCAGGGTTTGGGGAGGGATGAGGAAAAAGAAGGGGAAGAAATTTCAAAAGAAACTTGAATCTAAAGCACATTTCCTTCCTTTCAAGCCCACTCCCTTCAAACAAGTTAATTTTAACAAACAATCCATTGTTCCCCACTCATCCATGCCTAAGTTCACCCATGGAAACAAATTTCCTATAAAAAGACTAAAGCTTCCTAAGTGGAAAAAACACAAAGAACTGTCCACATCAGTTTGCTGCAGTAACATTAAAGGAAGGTTTGAGCTTCAGCTTCTTACAGATATGGAGAACAGTATCTAAGTTCTTTACAGGTGCTGCTGTATTAAAATTAATAGGTATGTGTCCAGTCACATCCATTTTGAATCTCACCTATTGTAATTAAATACAGAATTCACTTGAGTTTGCTACAGGCACAGAGACTACTGCAGGAAGGAAGTTTTTAAGCAAGCAGTTATTTTAATGAAGTAAGAAATATGCTACTAGATAATGCTCTGTAATCCAGTAGTTGGGAGGTTTTGGGGGGGAATTGGGGGTGGTATTTTTTAAGTTGATGTAAATAGCCCTGGAGTCTTTTAAAACAAAAAGAATTGCAGAACTGTGATGAAATGGAAAATTTCTGACAGACGACATGGAAAATACCTGAAAACAATTGCTTTATCTGGAACAGGTAAAAGCCCAAGCAAGAGTGAACACTGGTCTGCACCAGTGCCTGGAGGACATGGCTGGCACACAGCAGCAGCACCTTTGGAAGAGGGTAGGCAAGAACAATAAGATAGCGAGAACAGCAAGAAAAAATTAGTCATGGGTTTCTAATAAAAGTCATACATCACTCCAATTAATCGTCAAGCACAAGTCAGCTATTTAATTAAAGGGATAACGTATCACCAACAGAATCAAGCCATTTACAGGCAAAGTTTTACCCAGCCATGGAAACTTGTTCACTTCAAAAGTACTGTCACAGTTCCAGGTGGGTACAGGGCATGAGTTGTTTGTTTCATCTCCTGCTACTGCAGTGCCAGAAAGCATCTTCCCCTTCAGGAAAGCGCTTGGGCTGGATGTACATACCCAGTTCTTCTGTTTGCACTTACTCTTTAACTCTTGCATGACTGACTGGTGCTCCCCAAAAGAGAAAGCACAGCTCACAGCCAGCACACAAGCAAATCAAAGCAGGGGTATAGCCTGTTCTTTGGTACTTAGCTCCACACCCGAAACAGGCATCCCTACTGTCTGCCTTATAAAAAGTCTCCATTTGATCTTGAACTCTCTCACCAGTGAAAAGAAACCATTTCAACATCAGACAGTGAGTGATGTCACCTACCAATTCCAATCAATCAGCTCAGCACCAGCAGTTAAGGAATCATGGCGCTTCCAAGGCAAACATCTCCCAGTAAGAAATACTGGTGCTTCGGGTTGTAGTTATTTGCATAAAACTTTGGCAGGGGATGAAACAAATCCACTTTCTCAGCAAAAACAAACCCCACGGTAATTTTGCTGATAAACTACTTTTATATGGGATTTTTTTCAGATTATTTACCAAATTCATTCTCTTGCTCTCTGTGTTTAAAGGTTACACAAGATGAATCCCATTTATGACTAATTTCAAACCCCATGGAAGATAAAAGTATCACCACAATCTTGTTGCTTTTCTCTTCCCTGTAACCCTAAGCTGTTCTACCCTCTCACTTCTAGATCATCAAACCAAGGGGTAAAGAGTCCATTCCAAAGCACCAAGGTTAATTTTACTTTGCCGCCCCTGTCCTTTCACTAAGACAGACACTCCTGCAGACACCAGGGAACCTCAGCCCAGCACCTCTGTGATGAAACCCAGCCCACACCCTTCGGCAAGGCAGGAGCTGGTGAGCAGTGGGGAAGGCAGCAGGCTCCAACAAGCCTGCCGTTTGCTGGGTGATTCAGTCAGAAAGCAGATGTTCTGTAAGAGGAAAATTGCTAACATCTTATTCAGCAAAGATGACTACTTCAGCACAACAAGGAAGATCTGAAGTGTCTAGAAAATGTATTGTTTAAACGTAACAGGCATGGTTCACCCTCAGCTTAAGCAGACCAGTGTAACCTTGGCATTCTAGCTTTGAAGGGGAAGTTTGATATATACTCAATCTTATGCAGTTTCCATCAATTTTCAGTTACTTGTTTTAACCCCTAATGTCTTTGTGTTGTTCTTCTTGTCATATCTTTCCCCCTCTCCAGCTTCCTTCCAACAACGCTACCCTGAGTGCACATTCCCTGCTTCTGCCTTTCTCCATAGGACTGGGATCTCCCCCAAGGCCTCACACATGTTTCAGCTTCTACACAATGCACATATTACCAGAGAATCATAGCATCAAGATCTAGCTTGGTCCCTAGTTACTACTTATTGACTACATGAAAACATTAAAGCCTGACACAGACATATGTTACTGCTTTGATGGACTCTGATGTTGTAAAGCATAATGCAAGGAGTCTGAATTACTTAGAAAGTAACACACCCCATTCCTATACATGGAAATCCCTACTTCTTACCCTGTGTGTGCTAGAGGAAACATTTCTTTGGGATCACCTTTATCATTACTGTATTTAAATTAAAAAAACTGTTGGCTTTTCTTTTTTGAAGTAGGATTCCTTGTACTGCAACAAGAAAAGGCTTTAACATTTTGTTTAAAGTAAGACTTATCAGGCTATCTAATCTATTCTCCTGCCAAAGCAAGACTATTCCTGACAGTATTAGCACATTGCCTATTCTAGTTTTAATTCTGCTAGGGCACAGAGCCTCAGATATACACCCCCTCTGCACATCCACACCACTGTTAATAGCTCTAGTAAGGACCATGCTGAGAACCACACCCACGGCAAACTATTCAGCACCATTCCTGATAGGCAAATTATGTCCCATTCTCCAGAGCACCCTTATAAATGGAACCGATTAATTACTTCTACAGCTATTTATAAAAGTTCCTTTAAAACAGCATAAATATCTAAGAGATCTTTCCAACATTGTCCTTCTGTATGCTCCACAGTGGCTTAGAAGAAACTGTGGTACCTGGCTACCGTAAGAGCAGCATCCCTGCTTCCAACTTATCATTTGAAGTCTTGTCATTCCCCTTGCTCCTTGTAAGAAAGGAGCATTCCTTGCTCATTTTTTAAGGCATTTCACTCTGCCATTGTTAGTAGAGAGCACAAATTACAACACAACTCAGTCCACGCCTGTCTGCTCATACAAAGCCAGCACTGGTTACAAATCACTTTCAGTCATGAGCATATTTACCTTAATGACATCTCTTTGAGCTCTAACATTGATGCTATTCCCATTTAAAGACAGAAATAACATCACCAGAGGCTAAAATACAGACCCACGGAGGCATCGATTCATGGGAATTTAATGCTTTAGTATGCCTTCAAATATGATCTCAAGTGACCCAAGATCACATAGGAACCTCCTGGGGATAAAAAGAAAAACCAAGACTGTTTCTATTCACCAACTGATTTCTAAAACCACAAGTGTGGTGAGTGACCCAGAGCACATTCCACATTGGAAAATAAAGAAACATGCAGCCAGTCTGCAGTAAGGATACAAAACACAACAGATTAGGATGACTAGAGGAATGTCTCATGCTGCTTCAGTTAAAAAAAATCATTTAAAAGAAGGAGAATTCTGTCAAATGACTACTTCTTAATATTAACAAGCTACTTGTACCCTGGAAAATATTTTGGAAATACAACTGGTTTATGCTTTTATGCACCTGTAGGTTAACACTTGTATGTTGATACACTGTGTTACTGAAAACCCCAGTGTAAAAGTTGGCTTTGGGAGCAGGGCGCGTGCCCCACATCTACTGCTATGTAAGAGTTCACTGCAATAATTATGGCAGTTATTATATTTATAACTGCATTTCCCTGGGAGACTGGAAATGCAACATTCCAACTAAAGGCTAAACAATTCCTTAATTTTTATGGGGTGGACAAAGCCAGCCCATTCTGGATTAAGATGACGAAGGGCACACACCAGCAGGGCATTAACCCAAACCTCATCTGCTTACATAAAAACAAGGTGAAGATGGATTCTAATGCAGCAAACCCAGTGCTTTAGCAACAAACCATAAGAAGAAGAGGCAGGACTTCTGCTAAGCTGCCTTCAAACAGTTTTCACTCAGTTAAGAAGTTTTGTGTTTTACAGAATAGCATTATTTTTTCATCCTAGAGAAGTACACTGTGAAAGTATTCCATAACAGGGTTTTTGCAGAGTCTTATTGCTATTTTGAATGAGGGCTTCACGTCCATGAAATGGGACAGGGTTTCTATCAAATGCAGTGTTTCACAACCACGAGTAACCTGTCCTTAGTTTACAGCAGCGGCACAGAAAATATAGTTGAAACAGTAGAAGATTTCTAAAAGCAATACTTCATGTAGTTCAACTTTCACAAAAGCCACAATACCAAACCCAAGAGCAATTTCAGGTGGTGATATAAGAAGAGTTTCAGGTAGTCCCATTATCTTTCTCATTTTCTGATATTGCTGAAGATCAGGCCACTGAATAT